GGGTGTTTACAAGCGTGCTATATGGTTATACTGCTCATCCCTCCTTTCCTGCACACTCTGCTGTTACCCTGTGCTGTATTCCTTGCCATGAAACATGCTCCCATCTGCCCTCCCTTCAGTGCACAAGGCTTACTCAGCTTCAGCCCTTCATGTTCAGCCTTTCCCAGCCCCAATGACCAGGCAGAGTGGCCCAAAGGCTACCACCATCCTCTGAGGTGGATGGATTATGCGGGGGAATCTGCCCTGCTAAATCATTGCATTGTGTCCTACTGCATTGGGCTGAGTCTGCACGCACTCAGGACTCTCCTTGAAAAATAAGTGATTTGCTGTATGTTTGATGTGCATTAAACTCATCTCCACTCCTGTGCTCAGAATTATTGATTAGTCTAACAGCTATACCCCCGCTGGTTTGGCATTTCATGTCTATGTAACAGAGAAAGGCACATTGATTTTGTTATTATTAAAATCCTCTTGTATTTGCACAGTCTTTTCTCTTCCTGCAATTTTTTAATTCCTTCTGGAAAACATGTTACACATTGTCAAGATCAAATTCCTGAGACATCTTGTTTAAATCAAGGGATTCTTAGCACCTTCTGTTTCTTTGGAATATCCATCTGTGCAGTAATAACAAATCAGAGAGCTACTGAGGTGGGGGGGGAAGCATCAGTGAGGACCTCAATCTGTGGTCATACTTGCTGTTATCATGTATCATTATGGTGCATTATACCATTAATGCAAATTAGCAAAGTTCCTATGCTGTAAGATCTTTAACACACTAGAATTTTAGGATAACAAGAAGATTAAAGTTTCTAGCTCACCTGTAAGGGAATAAAAGCAACTAATTTTGTCTCTTACCTTAAAACCTTTCTATAGAGGCATATGTTGCTCCATACTGCGCTCTCAACCACCAAAACACTCTTCAGCCTTGTAGCAACTGTCCTCACTTCAGCTACTCCTCCTAGAAAACCAGGGTTGTGGTTAGGGTGACCTGTCTCCCAGGCGAGCACCCACACAGATCTGAGTCCCGTTTGCCACACAACCAGGAGAATTTATTTTCTGTCAGCCCCCTCACTCAAAGACTTTGTAATTTTATTTTTTTTTATTTTTTTTTTTGTTAATGAGAAAATTTCTTAAGGGGAATTGTGGGCAGGAGGATGCTGATGAGGCTGAGCTTCAGCTGGGTTTTCTCCTGCTCAGCAGCAGAGCTTTCCCTCCAGCCCCCCCAGGTTTATGTATGTGTGCTTGCTCAGCCAGCTGTGCGCCTGCAAACCCAAAACACCTTGCCTCACCTTTCCTAATAACCATGTAATCAAATCAAGGTAGCAACTCATTATATGTGGTGCTGCCCTTTCCTGAAATAGCTCTCTGTTAACCCAAAATCTGGTAATAAACATGGAAATGCCTACATTTTGGTGTGATATCATCATTATTCTATAGCATATCTGTAATATCAATATTAATATAATATTAAAAATTAATGCACACATCTCTATTCATAATTAATAATATTTCTTCAATATTAATAAAATTAAACCAAATATTGGCACAGAACTCCTAAGTGGAGTGAATAAAAGAAAGTGCTTAAAGCAGGCTCTCTCTCGACAAGTTATGTGTACTGGAGACCGAGACTTCTCTCTTTCAGCAAGGGGTTTCCTGGGCTGCATGGTTGCGTTCTCCTTTCTTGTCTGACTTCTCCTACAAGCACCTGCCCCTTCCCTTCCTCCCAGGCAGGTGAGGAGGCTGTTGCTGGCCCAGGATTATTGCCAGTGTGATGGGGGGGAGAAAACCTTTCATGGCAGAGTTTGCTTGAGGCTGGCCACCTTTTCCATCAGTCATGTTGAGTCAAGTTTGCTGTGCCCCTCAAGTCAAAGGCTGGTTCAAGGGAAAAGCAGTGGGGTATGCATGGCCATTGATGTTTGGAAATCCTTCTTTCCGTCACCGGTTTGCCTGTTATCACTGCAAAGCAAAGCCCTCCACCCCTTCCACGGCAGAAAGAAATTAAAGGGACTTTGCAGGTTTGCCTGGGTTAGGACATCTCCCCTGGGATGGGAGAAAAGATAATTGATTAGGACAGAGTTGCAGAAAGAATTGGGATGCAAAAGCTTAATCATCCTTCCAAAATGATCTCTCAAATCAACTAACCTTTATTGTGAGCATCAGTTACTGAGAATGAAATTACTAAAAGGGGAACCATAATAATGATTACCAAGTGAATACAGCGGGGATGTGGGACAGTGAGGTTTTGCCTTTAAGCTCTTCTATGCTGGCAGCCGTGCTCGGGCAGCAGGCAGACTGGCTGCGGCAGGGAAGGTGAGGACAAGTACAGGATAACGTCTCTCTCAAAGAAGCACCTTCCTAATGCCCTGTCCAGGAGCATCTGCAGGACATGAGTACTGCGACCTTCTATAGATGGTGTGAACTTTGAACTCATTTATTTGGGGCTGTTCTCATTACCCAGATAAATGCCTAATCCCACAAGTTAATTGGCACAAATTACAACTACAAAGTTGCTCTGCTCTTGTCTGATAAACTCTCCTAGCAGTTCAGTTTGGCAGGTCTAAGGCAGTCATCAGATATAATTGTCCGCTCACTTACTGTGATATAAACCAGGATGATTACCTTCAGTGGAGTCATTACTGATTTATGCCAGTGGGAGATGAGAAGCAGGGCTGGTGTTTCCTGCTATGTATGGTTCATCGTTTTGAGCCCCATGACAACGTGCTTTGGTAAAAATGAATGGAGCAAGATATGGAACACATACGCATTTGGGCTGCTTCTATTTTCCTTCTTGATTTTCCCTTTGAGTGTAAATTGAAGTCCATGGTATTGAGCTAATTTTGTATTGATAGACACGGACAGAAAAGCAACCCCCAAGCTCCCAGTGCATTCCCCCTGCGCAGACTCACACTGTATGGGTGCACGGGGTTCTTAAGTAACAGTGGCAGCATCAGGTTTGGGGTTTGTTTTTAAATCCAGATTATGGGAATTTCTGCGGTGCTCACAGGTCACTGCATGAGCATTGGAATGAGCTGGTCTTTCACCAGCACAATCCAGCCCTTTGGGTTAGCGATGAGCCCTTCTAAGACTTCAGATCTAACACAGGCACTTTGTATCTGATCACATGAATGCAAACCCCATATAAAACTACCATTTGGTGGCAGCTCAGACTTCCTTTTTTTTTTTTTAGCTACACGACCTGAACGACCAGCCCGGAGTCTGTTGCCACTTGCACAGCTGCCGTATCGCCAGTGCGAAGGGTGAAGGGAAACGTATAGACATTGGAGCAAGAGCCCTGGGGCTGGGCTGATCAGAGTCGGGAGGATACAATCCTATCTCTCAAGACACTTATTTTTCTAATGTGTGCGGGATCCACAGGGATCTGGTAAAATAACAAGCCCGTTTGTTCTTTCTGTCTCCTCAGGGAGGCGGTGGGGCTGCCGTATCGCCAGTGCGAAGGGTGAAGGGAAACGTATAGACATTGGAGCAAGAGCCCTGGGGCTGGGCTGATCAGAGTCGGGAGGATACAATCCTATCTCTCAAGACACTTATTTTTCTAATGTGTGCGGGATCCACAGGGATCTGGTAAAATAACAAGCCCGTTTGTTCTTTCTGTCTCCTCAGGGAGGCGGTGGGGCCCAGCGGAAGGTAACTGGTAAACTCGCTGGGACATTTCTCATCTTCTATACGTAATACAGGTGTTTGCCTTAATACAAGCGTGCTAACTTCTCTCAAACCCCTCATCGTCATTAGCAGCAAAGCACTGATTGTTGAAAGATGAATGACTTCACTTTCCCAGTTCCAGCATATGTTTGCATGTCTGAGAGCAAGAAACGTGTGAAACTCACACAAACTATTGGAATTCCAGCTCCAAGGACTGACAAGTAAATATGAAGTTGCATGGTATTTCATAGAAAACCCACAAATTATATCTTTGCTGCATTAAAGTTGATCCTTTGAGGCATGTGCCAAGAAAAACCTCTCATATTAGCTACACCAAGAGTCCTCCATCGTCTAAGACTACAGCTTGGTTGAGGAGTTCATACCTTGTAAACTGCTGAGTTTCCCTAAAAGCAGCCAGAGGCATATAATCTTTGCTAAGCTATCCGTACGGAGCTCTGCTAGCTTGGGTGAATTGAGTACGTGATAACAAATTACACTGAATAAAAATGGAAAACCACAATGACAAAATAATGTTATAATATTAAAATAAATCAAATCATATACTGCCATTATTCTGATACAGAATTTTTACACAGCAAATTTGATACATATACAAGAAGTCGGGCAGCCCATTACAATAAACTTCAGGGTTCCTTTTTTAATATAAACTACATCCTAATACATGGTTTGAGATGATCAGGTAGTTTTACACCAACTCAAGTAACAACAACTTCTTCTCATCTTAGAATACTAAAATAACAAAATCTTTTAATGCTTAGAATATTGAAATGCTTTGGTTCCACCTGCCACTTTTAAAAAGTGTAAAAACTACATCTATTGGTTAAACTTTTACCCTAGAGATGCGCCTAACTTACAAATACAGTTATATTAATAAAGTTACACGTAAATACAGTTTTCGGCAATCATCATATGCTTCACACTATGCAATTATTCAACTCTCAGTTCAATTCAGGCATTCCAAAGTGTAAAAACATGGCCAAAATTTTCCAAAATTGGCAATAATCTTGGATGTTTTCATTCTGGGGTTAACTCGGAACCATGAAGACCATGAGACGGTTCAGAAATCGTTAAGCTCCTGCCCACAGAAAGCAGTGCTGCTTTAGCAAATCTCATTTTGCTCACCCCAAAATGAAAGCATCTGCCACCACGAGTCCCTCCTGAAAACCTTGGCCACGACAGCGCAGTATCTCATCTTCGGTTTTAATGTTGGTGAGGCAGGAAGGTATGGTAAAGGGTTTCCCCTGGCAAGTACCTTGTTCGTCACAATAGCAAGAAAGACGATACATCGAGTGGCTCTTTCTAGCGCAGAATAGCTCCTGCTAAAAAAAGACATCTTCTTTTCTGAAGTCCGGTAAACATTTGAATTTGCTGGGAGAAGTCCGTACACAGGCCAGGCTGGGGAGACACGGGCAGGTGTGGTGCATCCGCCGCCCGGAGAAGGGAACCTGGGGACAAAGAGCACAGACATCAGGGACAGGGAGCACAGCGGCGCTGGTGCTCAGGATGGATGGATTCGGATGAACAGCGGGGATACGGGGAACGCTGCCCGCCTCCCTCCATGGCAGGAGATCTCCGGGAGCTGCAGCGCAGGGGCTGGATAGCAGGTGGCAAAGCCATTGCATTTCCCAGTCAAGCCCCAGTTAAGAGCAAAACTTAACAGTCCATGTTGCTGTGTAAATCTACATCTGTGACACATGTTCTCCATTTACTGCCGTTTCATAAAGGAGTCTGTTGTGAAACTACACTGGCCTTTAGCATCACGTTTTGCGGTGTTTACTGTGCAGGGGTTTCTGCTTGTCCCGATTCCTGCATTGTCATACGGCACGGCGCAGCCTGGCAGCCGCATAGCAGGACCCGGGAACTGCAGGATCCTGTGGTAATTCAGGCTGGAAGGGATGTCTGGAGATCATCTCGCCTGACCTCCCTTTGAGCAGGGTCCTTTTCGCCACAGGGCAGAGGCTTCTCATTTCATCCCACCCTCCTCCAGCCACGCTGTGTTGCAGGGAGCACACATACGGACTGCATTACATTGAATTGCGCCACGACGTGCACGTGCACTGACACTCTTTAACAACTTGCTTGCAAGCGCTGTCTTTTACAGGAGCCGTGCCTCCGCCAGCACATGAGCCGAGCCGGGGAGGACAGCGCGGTGGGACAGCATGGCCAGGAGCCGCACTGCTGCCGGCCGGCGGCGTGCACCGACCATCCGGTGGGATGCACTGAGGGAAGCACAGAGGTACAAAGCCACTGCTGCCAGCAGGGCAGGCAGCCCCAATTCCCTCATTTCCAGATTTCTGGGTGTTATGAGCCTGCAATTTCAATATTCCAAGCGCAAATTTTCTCTTTAAGAATGTTGAAGAGACAAAGTCCCACATGTTCCCCCGTGCATCATGCCAAGGACCTGTCCGACTCCAGTGACACCGCACTGGGTGCAGGGGGGGCGAGGGGGGAGCTCACATCACCTGTGGTGCCCTGAGCACCATCTGAAGAACAGCCCCAGAGCGAGGGATGCTGTGGGTTTCCCCACGCCATCCGCCATGGCCCTGCTCTCCTGGTGTGAGCAGAGAGGCCACCAACTGCGGGTGCTGGGGACTCCCCGCGGGAATCACACCTCTTGGGTGCCCACGCACAGAGCTGCAGAAAAACCTAAAATCTGAGCTCCTTGAGCTGGTAAGGCTGACTCAGAGGTACCTCTCAACCCTCCGACAGCTCAAGTGATTTATTCAAAACGTTACATTTGCTGCAAGGAAACGTTCCTTTCAGCGGGACTCCCACGCTGAAGACGTGCCTTACTAATGCACCCAGCTGGGGACAGGCAGCAGGTGACAGCTCTGCAGGATGGATGCTCTGCTGGGGTGTGCAGCTTCTGCCTGCGCAGGCAGAGCCCACGTGCCCAGAGCCGGTGCTGGCGCTGCCGGCTGAGCCAGTGCGTGCTCTGCCACGCTGTGTGCCCAGCACCAGGTTTTAATGAGCACGAGGCAATGGGAGTTTGTAGATGAAAAGAAAACAAGGAGAGACGTGGGGGTTATGCGCAAGGTGCACAGCGGCTCCAAAGCCACCCCTGTGCTGCCAGCTCTGTCTGCTGACCTGCCAAACCTCACCTGCCTGGCCCTGCCTGCAAACCCTGCCTTCCTGCCTGCAAACCCTGCCTCTGCAGTGCCAACTGAGATTGTTAACCGCATCAAGCCAACGCCATCTAGTTGCTGAGAAGGAAACTAGAAGGCAGAAACCCAACTGCCAGCCATCTCCAGGCTCCTCTGGAGGTCCCCAAGGCGGTGGCACGGCCATGGTGTTGCCTGCTTTGTACCTGACCTACAGTCAGATGAAAGATTTTGGTGCCAAGGGCAATTGGTTTCCCAGGTGCCCCTTACCCTCCTATTTAGGGGAGAGGAACCATTGAGCAAACTCCTCATCCTTAAAAATACCTAATTTCACATACTACAGTAAATCAGTTTGCTTTGTGCTTGTCATGAAGAGCAGTGGGGTGAGGAATCTAAATCTAAAATTCACCTCATAAAGCTTATAAACATCAGTGACTGTGTCCGTAAGTCTGTGGTGCACAGGCATCTTTTCTGTTTGTAATTATGTGGGCAATTAGCTTAAAATATATCAGACAGTATAAATTATTGCCCAATAGCAAAAAGCTTATAAAAAATCCCTAGAAGACAATTTCTTTTATCCTGAGACTCCTGTTCATGTAAGACCTCTTACAAGAAAAACCTGCTACCTTACATAGTGAAAAAGAGAATTTGGTCCCTAGTATCACAGCAAAAGATTTAAAAATTTCACTGTAATATAACAGAGCCTTGAGATTCCTAAACCTGAGGAAATAAACTGTAGATACAGAGCTGAGAAGCCATGCAGGCATCAGATAAGGCAGTGGGAGAGGCAGCTAACTAGCTCCGTATTTACATACTAAATTTATTGCCTTGGTATTTTTCACATGTGACAACTCCTGCGCCATACTCTTCCCTGAGGCTGGCTCTGAAGACCACCAGGTTCTCAAGCTCCTTAGTAAAATCCCATTCAGTCTTTTGTAATAATTTATTTATAGACAACCTTTTTCATACTACTTAATTACATATCCTTAAATAAATGTTTTTGTTACTGTCATTATATTAATGATATAGTGTATCATATAATAATGCACTAATAGGGTTATGTATACGTGTGTGTCTGTATGTATACGTGTGTGTCTGTATGTATACGTACATATATATTTGAAGGGAATAGGTAGAAGTGAAGAGAGCCCGTGGTGAGTTTTCTCAAGTACAAGTGCGTGCCAACACCTTTCCAATGGCTCTTGAAGGCGCCAGCGGCTCTCAGCCTCTGGAGCGCAACGGGATATTGCTGTTTGATAGCAGGGACCGTGCTGCAGTGAGGCACCGGGCGTCCCAGCACCGGCTGGTGACATTTTTATGCTTGTGATGGGATCTTGTTCGGTTCCACTGAGGTCAGTGGCATTCGCTACGCTCCTGCTCACGCGGGTAGGCATTGGCAGGCTTGGGCTTGGGAACTGTTTCAGATCATGTAACGAAGCCAAACAGCAACAACAAACTAATAAGACAACAATCTGGAAAGTGTGTAGTACTTTAATCCTCAGATTCTCTTCAGCATAATTCTGACAGTAATGTATTTCCTTACGTAGGTACCTCAGTGCTATTTCCATACGGATGCAAATAGCTGGGTATTGTAATGCACAGGACGTTTCCCCGTCTTCACCACGTATAGCTTTTATGCAACATGACATACAACACAGTATATTCCTGTTTCTTTCTGCCCTGCCAGCTCTGGTCCCACAACCGCCCCGGTGACGTACTCACTCGGTGACTCAAAGGATGGCACTCCTCTCCCAAATTTCCCATCGGTGTGCACATTCGCAGGCTGCGGATCCAGAGGCTAACCGCACAGCACATCCCTCCTCCGCACTGCTGGTCTCGGTCGCAGGCCTGGAGTTGAATACAGCATAGGGCAAATAAAATGAATAATAAATCTATTCCAGAAATAGGGCAGATCAGGTGCTCAAGAGCTGCCTCTGACACCCCACAAGTTACCACGGCTCATTGAGGCTGAATAACAAGATTTAAGGCTGTTTTGCAATACTTATGTCTCCCATGGATCTGAACACACAGGCTCCTGGCACGTTTCAGAGTTGAGCCCAGGATTTTTAAAGTCACGACCACATTTGGAGCTGCTCAGGGCTGAATCCAGGACTGCCAGCGATTTACAGTCCCAATGTCTGAGCACCGATGGACCGTGGCACGTGCCACTCTGCTTTCCCAGGCACTCAACAGTCACGAATCCTGTCTTATGGATAAGCTAAGATAGGAAATTATCCATTAATTTAAAGACTTTTAAGTAACTGTTCCTTCTAGTTTCTTATGATAATATCTTATGGTTGAGTACCTTTGCAAATGCCAGACTGCATGATAGTTTTATTGGAGAAGTCCAAGTGGAAATAGCTAAAATGGAAGTTTAAATATGGATTCTGTGGTTATTATCTAGAATTACATGTAACTAAAAGATATGTTAAACGTGTAATAGAAAAAGCTTTGCATAAGTGTCCACATCTAAGAAAATGCTACTGTGGTAGCATTCCCCCCGCAAGGTGGGGGGGAAATATTTCAGCCACTTACCCAATACAGCTTAGATGAGCACAAACCACAATGCAAACTATTGGGTATGTTTTAAAAACCAGAAACCATGAAGAGCAATTGACATGTTAGGGTTTGGAAACCGGTTACTGCACATCTTTTGCCTATTTTGTAACCAGAAGCTTATCAGACTGTTTATTATATGAATTCAATGCAAAAGCCAACCTCCTTTCTCCGATGAGAAATTCCATTAGTTAAAGGTTCTGATTACACCCCAAAGGTAAGCTTAATTAACTCACTTCTCTTTTAATGTCTGACAGCAG